TTATATATACATAATAAATATACACAGTACACACACATATATTATGTAAACAAAAACTTTTATTTTGGATGCGATTAATTGTTTGACAGCACTAATCTTAAAGTATATTAATATAGGAAACCAATATTAGAAATTGCAATAATATTTCACAATATTATGTTTTTTTTTTCTATTTTGATCAAATAAATACAGCCTTGATGAGCATAAGAGACTTCATTAAATAAATAAAAATCTTGCTGATCCCAAACTTTTGAATGGCAGTGTAATTTGATTTATAATAAATTATTTTTTTAAACATTCTCTGGTTATTTCTGTTTCTCCACAGAGTCCATTTGTCAGCTATGAATTTGACTTCATTGATGAGACTCGTGTTTCTTCATTAAACGGTGAGGAATTAATAGATAACGGATTGATTTAACCTTCCTGAGAAAACTAGAGTAAAAGTGTCATTTTTCATTTTAAACCACAATCTCCTGAAGTAGTAACAATAAAACGATGCACTTTTGTGGGGATTTTAGTCTTATTTACCCCTCCCTGTACTTCATGTTATGGTCTTCCTCATTTATTTCCTATGGTTGGTCAGTTTTGACCACAAACAGCCAAAGGTGTGACTTTTTATGTATGAACCACTCAGATTTAGAAAACAATTAAATAATAACTCAGTCAAAAATAATAAAGAAATACATTGGAGAGTTACTGTGAAGGGCTAGATTTCATTTTACATTTTTCTTTTAACAGAGTTCAACTTGCATGTTTTTCCTGTCATTTAAAAGCAGTGTGTAACCACATGATTGTTTTGGATCAGGGCACTGGTTCCTGGCTGAGGTGGGAGAGGAGGGCTGTTACGTCAGCTCTGAGAGCGCCAGCGACAGTGACTGAATAGAACGGATCGCACTTGTTCTACAGGACATTAATGGAGCAACACTACATCAGTTTTGAGTAACATTTCATTGTCCAATTAACAATAATAAATTATTTATTTTTCAGTATGTTGGTGTTATGAGTCCCACAGCCATTTGAGCATCTTGAGTTATGCTAGTTTTGTTAATAAAATGTCGTTTTGTGAATGTCAGCCTTGTTGTGTGTAAAGTGTCCTTGAGCTCTGGAAAGGCACTATTTAGATAAAACTTATTTTATATATATATATATATATATATATAGCATGTGAAACGACATCTCTATTATATCAAGTCAAGAGTACTGCAGGTAGGTGATTATCTTCAAAAAAGAAGAGACCACAACAGATGACAAAAGAGTTACCATAAGATTTGTGAATCCTTAAATTTGTAAATCACATTAATACACACTCGCAGACACACAAATCAGTGCATGAAACAATGTCTCGACAACATCAAGTCAAGACTTCTGCAAGTAAGTTACTATCTTCAGAAAAAAAGAGACCACAACAGATGACAAAGGAGACGCCAACAGGTAAGCATCCAAGAAGCCTGTAACAGCTTGTAAAATTAGGGAGAGGCCACCCTTACAGGCCAGGAAAGCTCTGCCGCAGCACTATGTGTGGGACGGCTAGCAATGGATCAAGAGTGCAATTCTGTGCATTGCACACCTTGGCCACCTGGAATATTTGAGTGACGCTGTCAGTTCACCCCAAGGGAAGCACTTGGAGTTAGGACTAGGGTGTGTCCTGTAAGGTCGTGGTGGGTGGGAAATACAGGGGACATCCTAGGTTGCCAAAAAATGACAAAAAAAAGTTTGTTTTTTTTAAAGAAAATAAAAATTAATGCCCACATACAGTTATTACAGAAAAACTGGCAAATTGGCTTTTAAAGCGGTCATATGATGCTGCTAAAAAGAATATTATTTTGTGTGTTTGGTGTAATGAAATGTGTTTATGCGGTTTAAGGTTAAAAAAACACATTATTTTCCACATACTGTACATTATTGTTTCTCCTCTATGCCCCGCCTTTCTGAAACGCGTCGATTTTTACAAAGCTCATCGGTCTGAAAAAGCGAGGTGTGCTCTGATTGGCCAGCTATCCAGTGCGTTATGATTGGCCGAATACATCAAGCGCGTGACGAAAATGTTACGCCCCTTGCCATATTGTGATGATGCCCTGTCAGGCCAGAGCGATGATTCAAAAACATGAAAACCCATTATAAACGAGGCATTCGTTGCATCCAGTGGGGACATAATTACGAATTATAATGACTTATACTGTCTTTTTAAGCGTTGCGTTGCATCGCGCCGCGTAAACATAAAACCATATCTGCATTTGTGATCGGAGAAATGACAAACAACAAGCCCTACTCTACACTGCCCAAAAAACTCGCTTTAAATATAAAAAAAAATAAAATATAAAAACTCTTTAAATATAAAAAACCTACTTACAGTCTTTGAGTCAGAACAGCCGGCATTGTAGACAATATTTGCTTCGATATGATAATTTGAAAAGTATAGATATTCGGTAACAACAGGGAAGAACTGCAGAAACTGCAGAATTACAGATATTTTTAATATTATTAAAAAAAAATTGT